GGCAATCCCCTCCGCAGGGAACCCTGCCTGGTAGGTGAGAGTCTGTCCCAGGGACTGGGTCTGCTTTGAGTGAGTCCCATCTGTGATCCCACTGACTTACCTGCTTAGCTTTCTGCTATAGCTCAGTCCCTAGCACAGTCCCTGGTACACAGTAGATGCCCAACAAAGAAACCCTGCATGGAGGGGAGGAGGACGGGAAGGAAAGAGGAAGGGACAGACAACCGGACACCATCGTGGGCCTTCATTCTTGCGTCCCTTGGAATCATGTCTTTCTCAAATCAACTCTAAGGCCTTGTCACCTCTTGCAGATACGGCTTTGAGAGCCACCACTTACGAGCTGCCGCCTTCCTTGGGGACTCCCTCTGACTGCAGCACCAGCCCACAGGACAGTGAGACGCCCGACAGGTGATTCCAGGATCCTCTCCCAGGATGGGACTGCCCCTGCCATGTGCAGGGGATGACTGTGGTTTGTTGTTTGGGGTGGAGGTGGGACATAGACTAGGTCCTCTGAGCTACATCTACAAGTCCTTCTAGAGCCCTACTGGACACCACCGAAGAATTAGAGGCCAAGGTACCTGCAGAGGTCAACATGGGCCAAGGGTCTGGGGGCTCTGGCGGAGTCTGCACCATCTCCGTAGAAGGGGTTTGTGCTGGAGCACACATCTCCATCTCCATCATCTCTATCTCTGCCGCCACCATCTCCACCTCCATCATCTCCATCATCCCCATCTCCTCCACCTCCATCATCTCCATCATCCCCACCATCTCCATCTCCATCATCTCCATCATCTCCATCATCCCCACCATCTCCACCTCCATCATCTCCATCATCTCCATCATCTCCATCATCCCCATCTCCTCCATCTCCATCATCTCCATCATCCCCACCATCTCCATCTCCATCATCTCCATCATCTCCATCATCCCCACCATCTCCATCTCCATCATCCCCATCTCCTCCACCTCCATCATCTCCATCTCCTCCACCTCCATCATCTCCATCATCCCCATCTCCTCCACCTCCATCATCTCCATCATCCCCATCTCCTCCACCTCCATCATCTCCGTCTCCATGGCAAGTCCTGTCTCTGGTTTCCCTCACAGTGGCATCACTGCTATCCTGAGCACCACTCATGGCTGGGAAGACACCTTCTTTTCCACCAGTACTTCTGTTCGCTCCTCCACGGGGAAGTCCGTTCCAGATGCAGGTAATGACTGCCAACCACTCCCCCACCCCCACCCCCCAAGTAGGGAGGAAGTCCTTCTCCTGCGGCGGCAGCCTCTACCATTTGTGGACAGCATGGGGACCTCAGAGATTTCTGGGTTTTTATGTTTGTTTGTTTTTCATTTGCAGCTATGCCTCTGGCTAGTGACAATTCCCTAATTCTTGTGCAAGGATTTTATTCATCCTTTCATTCCTGTGACCCATAGTTGCAATTCAGAAAATGTGTGTTGAGTGGCAGCATGGCCTTGGGCTGGTTGTTAATGGCTTAGGTCCTCTGTTTTCTCTTCTGTCAATCCGTGTGGCAGAGACCACCAGGGCTGGGGCCAGCGTCATGAGTTATGACCAGGGCTGTCAGCAGCTTGCTGTGTACCTCACACGTCGCAGGCAGTGGCTATAAACGGTCCATTGAAGATCAGCTGGCATGGCATTGACCTGACTCTTGGCAATCCTGTGTGTGAGTGGAGACTTGTGCTCTCGGGGTTTGACGATGGTGGAGTTTCCTGGAAGTGCAGCATCAGGTCTTTCTGCTCCATAGGACTGTTGAGGCTGTAATCTTTCTCCTACTCTGTGGGTTCTAAGCCCGATCTTTCAGGTAGGAGCCAGGCTCTACAGGGCTCCTGCCCGGGCTTGCTACCCGACGTCTACCGTCATTGAGTCGGTCTGACTCACAGGAACCTTACATAGTGTTTCTAAAGCTTGAAGTCTTCACTGGATCAGATACTTGAACTTGTTCCTGAGGTGAGTTTGAACCACCAACGTTGAGTTTCCTGATGTTTCCCTGACAGCACCAAACCAAAGCCAAACTCCCTGCCACTGAGTTGACCTGATTGGGCAGGGTAGAACTGTCCCTGTGATTTTCTGATCCTGTAACTGTTTATCGGAGTAGAAAGCCCTGTGTTTCTCCTAAGGAGCAGCTGGTGGTCTTGATCTTTGGGCCTTGCTGATCACAGCCCAATGTGTAACCACTAAGTCACCGGGGCTCCCCACAGCATCAACCAAACCAAACTCACAGCCGGGAGTCAGTGCTGACACATAGCCACTCCCTGTGGGTTTCCAAGACGGTAACTGTTTACAGGGATAGAAAGTCCAGTCTTTCTACTGAGGAGCTGCTGGTGGTTTTGAACTGCCTACC